GCATACAAGACAGGTAGTCAGTGAAAATGTAGATTGAGGAGTCAGTGGGTGAGAGACAGGCTGGGGAGGTGGGGGGAAGAGAGAGAAGGGGGGTGAAAGTGGAGAGATACCTGGGGAGTGAGATGTCAGGCAGGTTATAATGTGTCATAAATCCAATGTCTATATTTAGTCCATGATTTTTAGTATCCAGGAGGTTGATGAAGTGCAGTTCATAGGTTCGTCTCTGGGAAGTGTTGTGTAAGTTTCCTTTGAGGATCAGGACTGAGAGATTGGAGAGAGGTTGGAGAAACGTGCCCCCACAGGTAATTGGGTATACCTGTCTGATATATTTCCAGTGTGCATTCATTCTGGTGCGCAGTTGTTGTTTGGTCTCTCCTACGTATTTTCCATCAGGGCATTTGGTGCAATGGATGAGACATATTACATTTCTGGAGGTGCAGCTGTAAGATCCAGGAATGCTGATGGCTCTGTTGTGGGGTGTAGTAATTGCGGGGAGTGGTGGAGATGTGTTGGCAGGTTTTGCATTTCTTGTCATGGCGTGGTCTGGATCCTTTTGGTGTGTTCTGGGCTTGAGGAAGTTTGCTTCTGTTGATGAGATTAGTGAGGTTCGGTGCTTGTTTGAAGGCTAGGATAAGTGGCTCTGGGAAGATCTTTTTAAGAATAGGGTCTCTTTCTAGTACGGGTTGCAATTGTTTGAGGATTTTCCATCCAGGTTCAAGGGAGGGGTGATATGTCATAACCAGTGGTGTGTGATTTTGTGGCGGTTTTTCTTCTGTACTGCAGCAGTTCTTCATGTGGTATCCGGGTGGCTCTTTCAAAGTGCGATCTATCTCTCTGGAGGAGTGTCCTTGTTGGGTGAAAGCCTTTTTAAGATTGGTGAGTTTGCATTGCATTCAGGACCATAAAGGGCATCCTCAGGTAGGACTTATGGTGGGGGTACGGTTGTAGTGAGCCCCAAATAAAATCACTCTATTTCCTGTTTCCAAAAAGTGGAGGAGGGAGGGGGCACACCAGGATATACTGGGCCCCTACATTTCCCTTGTAGGTCTTGTCCTCAGGAATTAGACCCCAAGCTCTGCAGGTTGTTTGGTGAATACGGATAGTACCTCAGTCATCAGTATCAAGTGGAAAGTAACATGCTACCAATACATCAGAGAGAAAATCCAACCATTAGATTGTCAAGTCTGGGATTGACTATCCTATGACACAGGAGCTACATCTGGCATGGGCAGCCTGTGTGTGCGGCATGCAGCAGATCAGGGAGGTGACAGGTACAGGAGCAGATAGGACAGGAAGCAAAAGGCAAAGCAGCAAATTGGGCAGGAACTACAGGAAAGGAAGCAGATGTAATTTAAAGCATACATTCAGGTGTGGTCTGCAGACTTGATTGGAAGGCACCAAGAGATGGAGAATCTACAACTTCTCTCAGTAGTGTGTTAAAATTATGAATCATCCTTACTATTAAAAATGTGTGCTAAACTACATTTTGAATATTTGTTGATTCAGATCTTAGCTATTGGAACCAAAGCTTATGTCTGTCTTATGCTGCAGTCAAGATACCCATTGGTTTTCTTTTTTGATAAATTAAGCTGAATGAATTTGTTGAGTCTCTCACTATAATAATGTTTTTTGGCCCTCAAACCATTTTTGTGGCCCTTTCCCTCCACCCTCACCAGTATTGTCAACATCCTTTTTGAAATGTGGACGCCAGAACTGTACACAGTTTTAAAGTATCCATTTTGACAATCCTGCATAGAGAGGTAAAAATCACATCCATGATTTTCCTTTTGTTTGTTGTTCTTATTTATATAGATTAAGATTATATTAGCCCTTTTTTGCCACAGTGTGATTTGTGTCCCTAGTGTTGGGGCTGGGGGCGGTGGTGATGGGTCTGGGGGCAGCTGTGCCCTTAGTGATGGGTCTGGGGGCGGCTGTGCCTCTAGTGATGGGCCTGGGGGCGGCAGGTGCTGGCAGTGACGCCCATGGGGACGTGCCGGTGGCTCTGCCGCTGGGCCTGGGGGCGGGTGCCCCCCGGGAAGCTGTTTGGCAGGGTTGGGGGTGCACTGTGCTGCGCCGCGTTGCGCGCAGCTGTACAGCTGAACGCTGGTGTTTTTTTCTCCCTCGCAGCCATGGAAGCTAAACCCATTGTGACATCGAGGCAGAGGACGGTGGCGGTGCAGGGAGTGCCAACAGAGGTGGTGTGCATGGCCTTCTCCAACTCCATCCTGGTGGTGGTCACGCAGTACGGGAAGATGGGGACACTGGTCTACGTGGACCCCAACGTCGTAAGCAATGACGTCGGCCGACCTGTCCTCACCACAAAAGTGCTGCTGGGGCAGGATGAGGTAAAAGCAGAGCACATCATGCTGAAGAGCGAGGGGGGACTTACGCTAGCTTGAAATCCTGCTCAGGCTGCCAAGAGGTTGATGAATCAGCTGCGTGAAGACAGGCTGACATTTGCGTGTAGCGGCAGGATGGAAGAATCTGGTGCTGAGGGAGGAGGGGGTCACCAGTCAATCCTGTGCTTTTACCAAGCGTTCAATATTACAAAAGTCCTATTAACTCTAAACTGAAGGCGTCTTTGGATCTGTTTGCGCCTCGCCCTGCTGGCTATATAATGCCTCCGGGGTTCACAGTGAGCTTGATCCAGCTCCTGTTGTCTGCAACGATGAAAGAATAAACCTAGTGGCCTAGATTAACCTTTCTTTGGCTCTTGCTGTAGTCAGTTTTGCCTTCCCACCACTCTTTTTTTTTTTTCTCCCAACCTTTGTCTTTTCCAGAATTGACTTCCGTTTCCCTCTCAAATGTCCCTGCCAGCAGCTGCCTTTGCTAAGTTGAATTCAATTTGGCTTAAACAAAATGGGTTTTTAATTGACCATTATACAGAAATCAAGAAAACAACGTATTTCAGAAAGTATCCGCTAGACCAGTACTAAACATAAAGTTACATGATGCTGCAAGATCACATGGCTCTGCAGTATTATTAGAACTGCCTAGTATTGTTTGCTAACCCTAACTAAAAAAAGCCAGTAATGTGACTAATTCCTAATTTTCCCAGCAACCTCTCTTTATGCAATCCATGACTTTACTAACTGGCCTCCTTCCCTTCACATGGGACTTGTTTGCTTTTATTTGAAATGGCTACTTTCGTGGTGCAAAGTCCACTTAAACTGGAGCAAAAAAGCAATTTGGTGTCTGTTACCATATGTTAAACTATGACTTTTCCTGTTGCCAGTAGGCATATTTATACTCTGAAATAATTTCAGCAAGTTTTTATGTACATGGTCATTACCTGCTCCTTTACTTTTAATTAATTAATTAATTAATCTAAACTTTTAAGGAAAAAATTGATTTGCTCAACAACCAAGCACTTCCTGTCTGGCATTTTGGGATAATGAACATCCCAGCCCCAACGTAAGGGTAGAAAGAAAAGCAAACCTCTGAAAAACATGCATAGTAAAATGGATATAATTAAAACCTGAACAAGGTAGGTATACTTATTAGAGACTGCCTAATTAAAAAGGTTTGATTATATTACCTTTCACTAGTACTCTTAGCCTGATTATTTGTTTTTGGTTTATAGACTTTGGCTGTCACCAGCAGGCGTTCAAATGATACCGTTTCAGGCTTAAGTATTGCAAAAATAGGCCTGCATTCCTACCAGAGTCAAATGCATCCTAGTCTATAGCAGGTTATTAAAGAACATAAGAGTTAATAATGTCTTTAAAAACTTGGCTGTGATGGGGATGTTCGTCAGGGTGCATTGGATTTTTACATTAGTTGGTATTTGGTGATGTGGGAAATCCTGGTGTTACATCTCAGATAATAGCCCTGTCATGAGTGACTTTCCTCACTGGGCTTCAGAGTTCTCTCTGAACTACTATAAAATTTGGTTAAAATGCAGCTCCAGTTACAATATTAAGCCTGGTTTATTTGGCTAGAATTTATGGGTCCAACCTGCTCCCTTCTACAATGTAACCAAATGGCACTTCAGCCTCAGATCATGTCTAAACTCTTCAGCAAACAGTTTGAGCCCCATACTGACAGATCCTAAATATGCTCAGTAAATAGCTATTTCAGAAGGATTATATTATTAGCTAATGGACCACTTTGGGAAGATTCTCTCAAGTGAAGGAATGTGGGTGTTTTTATTTGCTTTTCAGCCCCTCATCCATGTGTGTGCCAAAAACCTGGTATCGTTTGTGTCTGAGGAAGCTGGGAACAAACCTGTTCTTCTGGCTATCGCCTTAAAGGACAAGACCATGGACGGCATAAAAGCTCTGCAGGAAGTGATCCAAAGTTGCCAAGTGTGGTGAGGCACACTTTCCATGCAATTGAAAGGAAGAGATCTTGAGTCAGGATACAAAGGACAGAGTATTGGAAATGATGGGATTTCTTTATCACAGCTTTGGACCATGTTAAGGAATTTTGTGAAATGTTGTATACCATGTAGAATGCTTTGAGGTTGTGATGGTGGCAGTGGTGGTAGTGACATGGATTTGGAGCCCATTCAGTGAGTAATTAATTTGGAATGGTATTCTCAACACTCAAGGAATTTTTATTTTTCTCACACTGAGGGGAGGGCGGCATTTTTTTGGAGAACTGCATGTGGCTTTGTAGCCTTATCTTGAGAAGTAAAGCCCTGTGACAACGAAACACTGTGCCGTAATGTAAAGTCTGATGCAGAATGAATAAAGAAACATCAATGAAAGCATCATTTACCTGCTTCTCCCCCATGACAACCAGATGATTTGAAACATTTTGGACCAGAATCAAGTTAATTGGGCCTGCAGACAGTACAAAATAGGGGAAAATGTTGACTCTTGACTTCAGGGTCCAGTGGAAACCATAGCAAATCTTTATTGTGCATAGTTGCGCACATCGGGCACTCCAGCTTCTGTCTTTAGGAGAAACCATTAACTTGAAAGTTACAAATATCTGTGCAAGCTGTAGTTACAAGTAGCATCTAATATTGTTGTCATCGAGAGGAATGATTAAATAAAAATATTTTTCTCTATTTTTGCAGCGTGCTTAATTAGTACATAGCGAACCTCACTGGAACGTCCAAGTCCCGATCTTGCTGTTACATTCTCATCAGTGGACTCTGGTGCTTGTTGGAAGCCCCATTACATTCAGTAGGGCCTCTGCACGGACACAAGGACTTGCCTCCACAGCTGCAGTTGCAGGATAGGGGCTGTATTCTGTTTCTTCCTTGCTAACAGGACCTTGTAGATAGCAGTGGAGGAGCAGAACAATCCGTGCATCTTTTAAAAGAATTAAAAAAATTATCAGGACATACTATTTAAAAGACTGGATGTCAAAAAGTGCAGTTTAAAAAAAACTCAGATTCAAACTGCCTGGCTTACAGTGTCCCTTTAAAGAAATATGGCTTAACTGCATTATTTAGAAATCTGTGTCTCCAAGCCACTGTGCCTGCAGTTGTCAGAATCCTGACATTCCCCTTATTTTATACCCGCCACCCTTGCTACAATTCTGGACAAGGAGGGCTCCAGGGTATGTTGAAGTCTCTAAACACTATTTCACAAATAACCTTTCAAAGCATTTTCTAAGTCCTGGTATTGAATGTGCAATTTCTACTGCTCACAGCCTCTACCATCTCAGGGAATATGACTTAATACTATAAATTGAATCCTGAACGCTTCCTCCATGATAGCAATAGCAAATATTCCAACTATGTCCTGAAGAGAAACACGAACAGCTGCTTAAAAACAAGCAAAGGATAACTACCCAGTGTAATAGCATTATGAGAGATTGCTTGTCTTGCGTCTGTGGGTGACTGGCAAAGGAGGAAGTTGGAATCCTTTTTCAGCTGGCTGTTAGTTAAAGCTGCAGGTAGTTAGGCTGGTATTTTACTGCTTCCTGTAAGATATAAATTAGATACGTGAGTGGCGTGAAAAAATCTTTAGGTCCCTAAGCTGCCAACACTGCTCTTTGCACTGCTGTAATTCACAGAAATATGTGCCCCAATGAACAGATTTATAGACCTAGCTGCTTCTACCAGACAAGCTGTCTGCTTTTTAGGAATCTTTCCGCCCAGTGTACAAGCTAAGTATTGTGCTTATCCAAAACCCTAATTGCACCTTTTTAAAGCTATCTTGCCATGTGTAAGTCACACACCGAGTGTTTATTCATTGTTTCCTAAACAAGTGGCCGCTTCAGCAAGGTTATTTACGTTGTGGCCCAGTCCAGCGGTGAGTGCACTGATGCGTAGGAGCCCCAAATGTTACAAAATACCGTAGGACACAGGAACAACAACAGGCTGGACTTGCTGGGTGTAGTAATGTGGGGCAAGGATTATGAATTCCTAAGCCTGCCCAGGTGTTTATTTTCTGGGTGTGGGAGCCCTGAGCAAGGAGCCAGAAGCGCAGCAAACTGGAAATGTATGTTTTGCAACTTTTTAGCCGTGGAACTGGAAAATAAACAGCAACAGGCCTATTTGGTATGCATGGCGGTGGGCAGTGGGGCTGGGCCCCAAAGAAATTGTTGCTGCCTCTGTTATTAAAAGGGGCTATTAAGTGTGTAACATTTGGATACTTTGTGAACTAAAGTGAAAATGGATGGGAGTGTGGGTCAAAGCTTACTAACAAGTGCTCAGAGGATGGGGTACCGAGCAAAGCTAGTGCCCGCTGACCCTCGAACAAGACCAAGGAGCCAGCGGACACTGCCCAGGGAAACTCTTCCCCAGAGATGTGAATAGATGAGGGGCAGGAAGCTGGGCTGGAGCCTTTTCTGTCAGCTAGATGCCCACCTGAGCTAGGGCCAGGAAGAGATTGAGAGGTCCTGCGATTTGCTGCAGCCACAATGGGGAGAGCATAGACACAAATACATCCACACCCTCCGCAGAGGTTCCTGAAGAGGCAAGGAAGGGGTTCAACCTGGCGCGCTCCAGGGAGCAAAGGGAGACCTGGCACATGCCTGGCAGCAGGGGCAGGTGTTAGGGGTGCCTGTAGATCCATGTGGGAGCCACCAGTGGAGATCCCAGGGGGCTTGCAGGATACAGAAGGGGACCCTTGCCAAGCATTGGTGTCTGGAGGGAGGCAAGGACATAAACCGTGCCAGGAAGAAGAGCCTAACCGAGAAGAGGTGAGGGAGGGGGGAGGCACTTTGCAGCAGCCAAACAGGCTTTGGGGCACTTCTGCTGCAGGGCAAATGTGCCTGGTGTGGGGTCAGCCAGGGTGAAGGGGGCTGCTCCTGAAAATCTGGGGAACAGGAGAGGACAAAGGCACCGGGAGCAGAGAACAGTCCCAGGCAGGAGGGAGGGAGGAGCCTGGGCGGAGGCAGGTGGAGGTGTGGGCAGGAGTGGGGCCAGCCAGCAGGAAGCAGCAGCAGGGACTAGGTGCAGCCTGCACGGTGAGTGCCGGATCCCACCTGCCCGGGAGAAGGGCCCAGCGCTGGGCTTGCCCCCCTGCCCCTGGGAGCTCAGGGCTGGGCCCCGCCAGCCGCAGAGCAGCACTGGGGAAGCGGGGGCCTGGCAGCTGCAAGGCGCAGGGAGGGAGCACTGGGGTAAATCCCTGCTTGACCTGCACCCCCCTGCCCTGCAGCCCAGCTGCTGTTTGGGAGCTCTGGCCTCTGCCCAAGGATCAAAGGCGCTATTAAGGTACGAGCTGCAGCAAAGAGGACAAGGAGGAGTTGTCCTGAAGCCCATGGTCTCTGTGGGGCAACTGCCAGTTGTCCCTGGCACTTGCAGAGCCTCCAGCTTTTAAAATCTTGCCTTCCAGGGCCGGGGCAGGTGGACCCATGTGGCTGTAGCTGCGCTTCAAGAGAGTTGGGAACAGAACCTGGGCATCCTGGCTTGCAACCGCAGGGGAGACCGTCCCCCTTGGGATGAAAAAGAAGCCCTGTCCATGAGAGCGGTGTGAACAAAGGTGGGCATAAGGCAGCTCCACCTGTGCCACATTAGCTAGAGTGGAATAGAAATGACAGGTGGCAATGTAATACTCTGCTGTCTCTTGAAGGTGTTTTTTTTTTTTAACTGAAAACATTTGGGGCTCAGATCCCCATTGCCTTAGCATGTTTGAGCCCTGATCTCTATGGGATGTGGGTTCTCACAGAGTTCAGTCAGGAGGGTGAGTGTCTTAGTCATCACATTCATTTTCCTTTCTCTGCTCTTCCGCCTTCTGTTTTGGAAGCAAATGGGTCTCTAGCAGCTTGGAAATGACCAGTTATCCAGCACAGCTGGCATCTAATTACATTCCAGAGCTGGGAAATCCAGCTCAGCACTATTTAGAGGCTGTTGTTTTTAATGAATGTTGTTATAAGCTATTAACAGAGTCTTACAACAGCAGCTATCTTGTCAGCATTGGCTGGTGGAGTAGTCCTACTATTGCTGAATGTAGCTCCTAATTTTCTTCAGCCTTGATCAGGACAGGTAACAGAGCCTGTTAATAACACACCATCACCTGGTCAAGACTAAAACCAGAGAGTGACTGATGTGCCACTGTGCAACTGCTGGAAATGTAGAGTGGCCCAAGCAAAGTTGAAATCACCTGTAAACCATCTATTTGGGCTGCCATCTGTGTTGTACAAGTGTTGGCAATCAGGAATCACAGCCTAACTGTTAAGTCAAGCCAGCCAGAGGGGCTCAGCTCAACACAGGGTGAACAAGAGAGGGGGTCCAGAATAGGTGTATCCTCTGTGGAGTAGCAGAGGAGGTATGCGCACATGAACACCATACATCACGTGAGTGTTTTGACCTGTTGTAAGTGGCAGGGGGGGTCTCTAATCATTTAGGGCTGTCTGCATTGCCTTGCAGCCTGCAGCTCTTCCTTCCTAGGCTGAAAGCTGGTGAATGGTGAAAAGGATCTGCTGTGATTGGATATGGGCTATGAGCAACAGTGGTATTGCGGTTAGCTGTTTAGGGATGGTCACTATAGACCTGCCTGTATCGGAGATCTACCCTGCTTCCAGCAATAGATAGCAAGTCACTGATAAAGCTGTATCTCTCCAGGTTGTATTTGTCACCAAAGAAAGCTGTCACTTGCATTGACTGTTTTAGACCTGAGGAGCAGAGGCTGGTCATGCTATAAAATTGGCTTTGCAGTTGTGATAAGTCTGGGATCAAGCAAATGTTACTTGTCATCTTTGAACTAGGTCGTTGCGGCTGAAAAATGGTTTTACTGCCATGCTTTATAGTTAATCATTTTGTTAATGGGAGGTCTAGAGTAAGTACAGTGTCCTCTAGATATGCCTCAACTCTGATTAAAAATAAATAAATAAATAAAAAAATTCTGCTCTTAGTCCTGTGAACCCAGGATCTAACATCCAGACTATGATCTCCTTCTAGTGTGTTGTGGCTGGTTATGAAGATAATATAAACTCAGTTTTGTTCTCTTCCTCCTTCACAACCCCATGCCTATGCAGCTGTAATGAAGGCTGATGGGGAATAACCTGAAGATAATGGAGGGTGCAACGGTGTAAGCGAGGACAGAATTTGATCTACAGAATCTTTGTGAAAGGAGAGTATGCATGAGAAGCAACAGCCCAGCTGGATGATTGTGTCCTCAGGTGACCGTGTGGTTCTGGCAGTTAAAGCATCTCTTCCTGCCGAGTGATCAGATCTGATTGAGATACAACCATCATGGAGCCTCACCACATTTTTGGAAACTGTCAGACACCAGGCCAGCTTAGAGCCAATTAGCACACTTTGATCTCTGCTGTTTTTTAAGTGCATATATGAACTGAGCTCCTATTCAGAGATTTGTCTCCCATATGTTGCTGGATAATTTTTGGGAGCAGGGGGCACAGCGTTCTGCCTGGGTTCCTAGCAACAATACTTTCCTCTTCTGGCTATTTTCTTAGCATCTCTTGTTGCTTTTCATCTCGAGCCACTCATGGTGCTTGTTTATCCTCGCTTGTTGGGGAGATGTTTTTGGAGAGGGGCATCTCTGCCTTTAACAAAAAGAGCAAAAAGCATCCTTTGAATCTTGCTGGGGGATTTGGGGGGTGGGGGGTATGATGAGCAGCCCATGTGCTCTGTTTTAGGGTCATCTTCAGACTGGATTACAGAATTCTCTTTTTTCTGCCGACCCAAAATGGGTATTGCTATAACCTAATGGAAAGGAGAGGGTTACCCCATAAGACCTTTGGGCTCTCAACTGAAAGGCTCACTCTGACCTCAGCAGGCTTTGGATCAATAAAGTGCAGATTTCAGGAAATGAAACATTTTGGAGATCAGGCATGAAAATGAAATGGTGAAAGCCAGCTGGCCTCAAAGAGTCTTGTTGTTTGATTGTTGGGATATGGTCAGTTCTTTCCCTCTTGTCTCGCACCTTAGCTTTTTGATGGCTGAGTGCTTAAATGCCACAGACCATAAAAGTGGGCACAGTTTTAAAAATAGAGCAAATAAGTGAAGGCTAAGAACACTACCTGCCTTTGGGGGAGCAGGAACTCTGTGCCTAACAACTGCTTTTAGTGCCTGTAAGTGCCTGGAAAAGCTTTGCCATGCTTGGGGGAACGGAGACTGTCCATATAATTTACATCAGGCTGTGCTTTGGGGAATGCTGATCAGTGTTATTGCATGTGGCTTTCCTACTTCAGGCACAGGTGGGAGGAAGGGGGGGAAACTCTTCCTGAGCAGCGGCAGGGAGAGAGCAAATGCTCTGTCCTTCCCTAGACTTATCTTGGGTTAGGATAACTACAGCACGTTCCCTCTTCCCCCAACACGCTGCCAGCAGATCTAGGCAGTAACCGGCTTCCTTCTGTCATTCGAACGTATTGGATATGCCGGTTCCTTACAGCCTGAGCCCCCACCTGTTGTGGAGTATCCTTTGTGCTTGTACAGACTCAGACGCAGCATTCCCCCTTCCCAGAGGAAGTAGGTGGGGCTGGCCCTGGACTGACTGCTGCCCGCTGTCCAATTGCTAGGACACGGCACCCGTACCAGACTGTTCCAGGGCTGGTTGCAAAGCAAACAGGGAAGAGGATAGCTACTAAAAAGAAAGCACAATCTTCCTCTGGGCTCCCTCCATTTCCAGGGCTCCCTCGCTATCTCTGCCATCCTGTTAATGTTTACATGGCAGGTGTTCATGGCACATCCATCTGTCCAAAGGACAGATCCCTTCAAACATACGCAGCTCTCCCTTGAATCCTGTTTCGCCGTGGCTGGAGAAGTGCTGTGAATCCGACCAGGTATTTGTTACGCAGAGAAGCCCGGCAGTCAGGTGACTTTTAAGTAATTCTACCCTCTTCTTCACTCCACTTATCTCGCTCTCTTTTTCTTTTCCACCTTCCAGGTACGGGTATTCTGGGGGTGAACTCTGAGCTCTTGCCAACGTGCACAGCCAAACAGCCTGCAGTTAGGACATCTCGACTTACGTGCGAATTCTCCTCCGCCAGCTCGTCCCCCACCCATGGGGGGAAGCGATATTTTTAGCCCCTGGTACGTGTTTCTGTTGACTTGACACCATCTGAATTTCCCCTCCTGCAAGGTAAGAGTCAAGAGGAGAGGATGGATGAGGAAGTTCTGGGAAGAATTTGTGCTTTGTTTTAAAGTTATTTAAATATTTGATTAATAACAGCTCAACCTCCAACAAGGATCTTTGCTCACGCCTGCCTGTGGGACTTGGGTAGACAACACTGCTAGTGGGTCTTCAGGGAAATGGAATTAATCAGTGGCTAAAATGGAGGAATTAGATTGTACTGGTTAACATAAATATATGCATACCTTCCTTTAAGGCTGGATTAAAAAAAAAAAAAAAAAACTGTTATAAAAATCGCATTGCAGAGAGTTAATGCAGGCTGAAGAAATGAAAGGCCAAAGATGGAAACTTAGGTGTCTAGAGGCCTTTAGGTATGATGCCACCCTATAAATAAAAATGTATTTTTAGGTCAGTTCTCTCTGTACCTAGACACAGGGTACATGGTGCCTGGAATATGTTGATGATCCTTTCCTGTTATGAGATCTAGCATGGGGAGGAGGAAGCCTGCTGGTGACTGCAGACAGCATTGCGATGGTTGCCAGGTGCTTGTAGAATTAGTTTTGTGTGTTGTGTGGAGTTTTTTTTAAAAGCCCCTGAGGGATGTTCAGACCCAACTGGGCTGCAGGCCTCTCCTGTCTCTGGAGGGAGCTCTCTCTATTCTAGCCCAGCAAAATAGCATCTCTGCATAGATCTTGGTGTTTCACAGTGTACAGAGAGAAACGCAGCCATCTCTGGGCTAGATGTCACCCATGCCTGGTACCTTGGCTGTGCAGGTGGGTACAACAGCTGTTTTAAGCTGGTAGACCTGGATTCCCATTCTGCCTCCAGGGGTGGGGTGCAGCACTGTTATTTTGAGGGGCCAGTCAAGGTGTTAAACCCTAGTAAATGGTAAAGGGAATCTCCTTTCCCTTGGGTTTATATGTGGGCCCTATGGCCCTGATATTTCTGTATTGAAACCATCTCAGATGGGGAGAGACTGGGCAAAATGACCTTGTGGTGGCTTCCTGATCCTGTGTGCCTCCAGTATCCTGGAGGCATGGCGGGCTGGCTTCTCAAAGATCTGCCCTCCCTTTCTACCAGGAAGCGGTTGCAGCTTGCTTTCTTGCTTGGCGGGCCAGATGGGACCCTGTACAGCAGGTTAGGTGTAAATTCCCCAGAGCAAGGGGACCTGTTTCCTTCACCAGTGTATAGGAAGTACAGAACAGCAGAAAGGATGGAAATCCAGGCTAGGAGGTATGTGTGCGCAAAACCAATGGAGGAGACTGAGCTGAGGGGTCTCCCTTAGGGGAAGGAGGGTATTTCCATGCCCGGAGATGGATCTTTTCAAGTTCTGAGAGTTCACCTCCACAGGAGAAGAGGAAAAGCAAATAATGCCATGGTGGTTTAGTTTTTAAGAGCCTCTTAAATGACGATTGGTGTCTCTGCAAACGGGTGGCTGATCAGAAACCCAGAAGGTATTTCTCTGAGTTGTACGTGGCTGTAAAATGGGCCTAGATATCAGTAAGAGCCCAGCACAGACCCTAAGAGGCCGGGTATGGGCAGCGTGCTGACTCCTCTAGCCCTTCTAGTGGGTTGCCGAGGAAAGACATTAATGCCTTACCGGGGCTCTTGGCAAACACCTCCTGAGAGCCCTTTTTGAGCTCCAGGAGATGGTTCCAGGGGAAGGGCTGTGAGCATAGCCAGGAAAAATACCGAGACCCTTACTTGGCTCCTTGCTCCATCTCCTTCGGGCAAACTCAGCTGTTCATTTATCTGCCTGCTGAGGTGTCCTCTTGGATTTCCCCAGTCGTTTCCTGCAGTCCAGGAGGTGACTTCCTCTCCACTGGTGTTTGCTCCCTACAGATTTGAGCTGTATTAACTGGAGTGTCACTTGCAAATCAAGGGAAGGGAATCCTTCACTCTGTTCGGGACCGGTGAGGCCTCGCACAGAGAACCATGTCCAGTTTTGGGCCCCACACTTCAAGAAAGATATGGACAGTTTGGAAAGAGTTCAGCACAGGACAACATAACTGATTAAGGGCCTGGGAGGCAAGACTTGCAAGGAAAGGCTGAAAGAACTAGGACTGGAGAAGAGCCTTGCGTGGAGATTTGATGACAGACTTCAAACACCTGAAGGGTGATTACAGCGAGGATGAAGGTGGGCTTTTCTCTGTTTGTAGGGGACAGGATTAGGAGCAATGGCTTCAAGCTGTAACAGGAAATTTAGGCTGGAGATTAGGAGGAACTTTGAGTGAGAGTGGTCAGACATTGGAACAGGCTACCTCGAAGTTGTGGGTTCTCCATGCTTGGAAACTTTTTCAAAAGCAGGATCAACAGGAGCTTGACTGGAGTGGTTTAGTCGGGGATGTTCCTGCCTTGAGCAAGGGGCTGGACTAGACAACCGCGTGAGCTTCCAGCCCTGTGCGATTTCCCTCCCTCCTCTCCCTTTTCTTCCCCACTGCGAGCTCCCTCGCTCACCTCAGTGCTTTGTACGTCCTGACTCCTCGTGTTCCTCTTCCTTGTGGCTCCACCTTTGCTCACGGGCTCCTCTCTGCTTTGTTCTGTGCCTGCCTTCCCTGCTGTATTTACCTTTGCTCTCTCCTCTCTGCCAGATGAGTAATACCACACACACCAACGGGGCGTCTCCCACCGAGGGTGGTGTGGAGGCGACTAGCATGGCTGCGACCATGCTGCCAGCCGGGCTCTTCACGACGGTGGATCCCAGCCATTTCACTGTTGGAGACGGCTCCCAGCTTAAGGCCATGCAGAACTACACTCAAGACGGCCAGCAGATTTTCCTGACCACAACAGCAGCACAAGTGATCTCTGGGCTGTTTGTGTGGTCGGCACTGATTCTCACCTTCCACCAGGTAAGGCACAGGCTGTCCCCCTGGCTCTGTGGGTGCATTGTGACCTCTGGAGAGGGGTGGGAGGGCTAGAGGGGCCACTAAACTTTGTGAGAAGCCTCGGATAAAGTATACTAAGCTAGCCTGAAGAGCATTCACTAATCCTATCTCTTTCTGCTTTCCCTATTCCTCCGGACAAGCATTTCAGTGCCCTGACTCTGGCCTCCTGGGGTGGCGGAGACTGTTGACAGTAGTAAGGCAGGTGGCTCAGCCAAATTCATAGCAGTGAAATGTGGAAGGGGATATCTCCAGCCATTGAGAACCTGGCACTAACCGCTCGGGAGAGTGGACTTTGTCCTTCTGTCCCCCTGGTAGGGTGCCTGTGTGTCCTTTCTTGCTGCCATTATTTACCTGGGAGTCGGTATTCCTGAGGTTAAAGGAGTGACTTCCCTGTTCTGGGGAGCCCAAATCCCCTGCTTAATGTCCCCACTCCCCACCCAAACAGCACCTGTCTGCAGTCATGGGGCACAAGTCCCATCCAAGTCCCCTTGAACTACTTGTACCAGGAATCAAATTCAAGGTGTAAATCTGGAGGAACTCCTTTGAAATCGGTAAAATTACTCCAGACTGACACTCATGTGGCTGAAAGCAGGGTCTGACTGATGGCTCAGCTTCACGGGTGTGGGGGGGTAGTTCTTGGGATGAGTGGTGTGGTGGGGTTGAGGCTCTTTGTCCCTGCAGGCATGTATTGGGTCACAAGGAAGATGAACTGTTCTGTTTCAGGCTTGGTTTCTTGCTCAAGAGGACCTCGGGCTGAACCAATGTGACAGGTCTTTACTAGTGTGCACAAGTAGGGTAGAGGACCAGTGTGGAACTGCCAGGGGGTTGGTGGGGCAGGGCTGAACAGGAAGTTTCTGGCTCTAGGTGAAATCTCCCACGCTAGTGTTGGCGCCGTGTAGAGCTGCTGCAGCCTCCAATTCTCTCTCTACTCAGTCCTGGCTGTGCCTCCTGGGGGTCCGGGTGAAGTCATGATGCCATTTGGAGGATTCGAGTGTCGGGGAACTCGATCTGCTGCGAGATGCTGGCAGGAGGCAGATAAATAACCTTACCTGAGGATATCTCCTGGCACACCCTTTCCATCCCCCAGCCCACCCCACCCTGATGGCCAAGTGGGAATGGTGTCTTACCATGTCTGCTTCTAGGGTTTTCATCAGCTGGCATTTGCTACAGTCCTAACGTCACTGGACTCTCCCTCTTCCCCAGATCTACTCACATCTGCGGAATTACACCATGCCCAATGAGCAGCGCTACATCATCCGCATCCTCTTCATTGTGCCCATCTATGCCTTCGACTCCTGGCTCAGCCTCCTGCTCATTGGAAGTCACCAGTATTACGTGTACTTTGACTCAGTGCGTGACTGTTATGAAGGTGAGCAGTACAGAGATGGAGGAGAGGAATCCAGTGGCTCTGGGGTGAAGGGTAGGGCAGGAGGAAGGTGAATGCTGTGGTGGACAGTGGCGGGTTTGACTCTGGCTCTGGAGGAAGCTCTGGCACGTGGTGGGTATTGACGGGGGTGAATACTCTGTGTAGTCTCTAAGAAACTTCACCGCTAAAATGAACGGAGGTAGGGTTGAGGTGACATCTAGCCTCTCAAGCCAAACCTGAGTGATTTAGCAGCACCTCGCCAGAGATGACTAATAGCAAAACAGGATGAAATGGTGACAATCCCCATTATCCTTGCTGAAAAGCAGAGTACTTCTCTGGATCAGACTAGGACGAAAGTATTTCTTTTCATTCAGTTGCTTCCCTCCTCCCTGGGAGACCTTTACTCCTTCCTGCACTTGTGGTTGCAGAAGGCAAGCACTCTGCAATGTGATCAATATGCTGCATATTTCAGGAGCAAAATCTAAGTGTTTCCAGCAAAGTGAGACGCTTAACAATGTGTGCTGTTGGGATTGTCTCCCTCATCCATGGTCACTCTCCATTAGAGTATACAGCACAGTCCCACACTAGCTGACAGCCCTGATAGATGAGTTATCAGATCTTTCCCTTCTCCAACTTCTTAGCCACCAAACCACGCTGAATATGCTGATTAGCTCCTGCTTTTACTAGGGAAAAGGTTTAATTTTCTTTCTTTTTTTAAGGTTTCTGGCTCACTTTAGGTCAGGTATGTTAAATTTCACCTCTTCACTTAAGACTTTGCATGTGAGTGTAGGTGTTGAGAACTTTTTGGTGATGCCTTAGCTTAAATATAAGGGCATATCTACTCTGTGAAGATGCATCCCTTTCTTAGCTTTCATAGGATATAAAAAATAAAATAAATCTCAAATGGAAAGATCCTATAGAAACTAGGATGGGAGAAAGGAAAGCTCAGGAGTGGGACCATTCCCCTCAGTCAGAGCTACTGCTTGTCTACAGACCTTGGGAGACCACACTGCATCTCGTCATGCTTTGTGGGATGGGCTTTGATCGCTACCGATTGCATTTATTTAAAATGCAGCCCCTTTTCGAGTAAAAGATCAGATTGTTTAGAATGGAGAAGGAGGGTTGGTTTGAGCTGCTGGCTCTCTGGAGGTCAGGCTGGTGTTATTCTCCCCACCTTCTCTATGTGCATGGGGGTTTTTTTGTTAATGTATACTGGGTTTGAAGTAGGAAAAGGGGGAACATGACCAATGGTGTCTGTTACCAAACCTCAGTGATCAAGCTGGAGAGGAAGTGAGTTAATGATAGGTGAGATCAGTTCCCGAGTACTCCACCCCACAGCTCTTGCATCACCCAGGGCAAACTCTTATCGACTCCTACCCAGAAGACAGGTTATGGCTGCCTACCAGGAGCCAAGTACTAATGCTTAGCACTGAGAGCCCTTTCCTGAGCACTGGCCTGCAGGGTCACATCAATCCGCTGTTCACATGTCCATCTCTGTCTTGCCAGCATTTGTCATCTACAGTTTCCTGAGCCTCTGCTTTGAGTACCTGGGAGGGGAGAGCACCATCATGGCTGAGATCCGGGGGAAGCCTGTTGTGTAAGTGCCATGGTCCTCTTGAGTTCTTTCAGATCCCATCAGATGTGACGCCAGCTGATCTCTTTGTGTTCTGGCTCTAGATCCAGTTGCCTTTATGGGACTTGCTGCCTGCGAGGAATGTCCTATTCCATCGGGTTCCTTAGGTTCTGCAAGCAGGTTGGTATCTGCCCCAGGGCTTGTTCCTTGGCTTGTTACGCAGATCAATGAGAGTCAGGCCATCAAAACTTGAGGTCCTTTCTAGGCAGGCTTCTCTCTCCTGCTGCCTCGTGGAGGGGTTCTGCTTTCCTCTCTCCTAAGCCCTTGGTCCTCCTCCAACTACAGCAGCACGTCCAGTCCCTCAGGCACCTGGCCAGCAGCAGTCAGCTGTGCTTGCTATCATGTGCTGCAGCTCTGCATCTGACTCATTGCTGAGTCAGGAGCTAGGCTCAGCAATGGGAGGAGACCCTGCCTTAATCTTTCTGGTCTTATTTGGTCATGGGTCCTAATTGCCAAGAGGCTCTACTGCCACTCAAAGTCTAGTTCATGCTGGTCTGGGTCCTGTCTCGGGCTGAAGCGAGGGTGACTGTGGTTACTTCTAAATGGCTTCACTGCCTTTTATGATAACTCAATAGGGCTACAGTGTGCTTCCTTGCTGTGTTGTGGGTAATTGAGTCCAGGGAGAAGTTCCTCTGGTGCATCTAACCTCAGGGCCAGGAGCTCTGTTAAAAGCAGGGCATCAGGCAAGCTTCCTAAACCAGCCCAGCACACAGACGATTGACGTATGGCGGGGGTGGGAAGCAGGACAGGGTTTGGCTGACGTTTGTCCTCTTGACACAAGAGAATGGCATAGAGATGATGGGATGGGTTAGGTTAGACTGGTGCACTTCTTCCTTGAGGTGCTGGGGATGAGACGATGCACATGGGACCAGTTTGCTGATAGGAAGCTCCTGTGGGGTTGCTGTCCAGGGCTGGTCACCTTTGCAAATGGCATTGGTGCCTGCTTAGAGGCTGAAAGATAAAGGAATACTACTTCTCAGCTCTCTGCCCTCCCTTGGGGGTGGAAGAGTCTGACTTGTTCTCTCCCTTTCTCTTGAGATTAGGTGGAGTAGGAATGTCTTTTGTAACTTGTGTACAACAGTTTCTGCAGCCTTTTAGAGCCCAGGGAAGAGCTCTGGCAGGAGTGTGCTGGGATCTCTTGCTCCTAGTAGTTAGATTAATGCAGTGATTCTTCCTATTTCATTGCAGGCAACGCTACAGTTCTGCATCGTGAAGCCCCTCATGGCCATTGTCACCATTATCCTACAGGCATTCGGGAAGTACCACGATGGCGACTTTAAGTGAGAATGGCGAAGTCGGGGCAGGGAGGGGGAGAGCTGACTTTCCCGGAGTGTGGTGGTAGCATCAGAAAAGTCAAGGACATCCACAGGGTGTTTCAGTGGGCCAGGGCTGCTGCTGCTTCCCCAAAGTTGATTACTTTAGTAGATGGGTGTTTTGGGGGTGAGGAGTGGAGCAAACACTGCCTTTAAATAAGGGGGCCCTCAAGAAGGGAGGAGGCCCCACAGTCAGTTAAGTGTTGAGCTGGACTGCTGTTGGTGTTCCCACCCTTATGCTTGTTCTAGTTTGGCCCTGTTTAATTTTTGGACAAAGAACTTTCCCCACTTCAACTCTCTCTCTCCTAACTGCAAGACTGGACCGAGCCATGTGAGCTGTTGTGGTGTAAATCTTCTCCACAATACTTGTCACATGGCCAAATGCAGCCCCTTGAAGGTCTACAGCGTGACTGCAGTTGCTGTCATTGTTCATACAGAGAGATGCTGCCGCTGGACATTACAGGACAGCCAATGTGCAACATCCCCTTTCAATCTGAGCAGCAGAGTCTTTGCACCTTCTGTCCTGCATCCCTCTTTATAAACCTGCTCGTTTTATGTTCCTGACGAGTTGCTGATGTGACTTCTGGGGATGGTTTCAGTAGCTGGGCTGACTCATTCTGTCTCCCTCCAGTATTCACAGTGGATACCTCTATATCACCATCATCTACAACTTCTCCGTCAGCCTGGCACTCTACGCGCTGTTCCTCTTCTACTTTGCCACCATGGAGCTCCTGCGCCCATTTGAACCAGTCCTCAAGTTCCTCACTATCAAGGCAGTTGTCTTCCTGTCCTTCTGGCAAGGTGGGTCCTAGGGATCAAGGTTTCTAGGACCATGGCACCTCTTCTCTCAGGAAACAGGTGCATCTGCCTACAAACTGTGTGGGTCAGGGAGCTGGACCATGATATCAGTGTGACCAACAGAGGTTGTGGAGTCAGAACTGACACCCTCCCACCCCCTTTCTGCTTCTTTGCACAGGGATGCTGCTGGCCATCCTGGAGAAATGTGGGGTGATCCCTGAAGTTCAGATCATCGATGGAAAGGAGGTGGGAGCTGGGACAGTTTCTGCTGGCTACCAGAATTTCATCATCTGCATTGAGATGCTCTTTGCCTCCATTGCTCTGCGCTATGCCTTTACCTGCCAGGTATACAGAGAGAAGAAGGAAAACTCAACAGGTAAATTCTCCTTTGAAGCCATGTTTTGTATATCTCTGTGTCTCCTGGCATAGACGGAAACCTATTCAGCACTTATCAAGGAGATGGCAGAAGTCCTTAGAAGCCAGTTCTCAATTTCCTGTTCTTCCACTTTAACTTCCTTTTCCTCTTCATGATATCTCTAGGCAGCTGCAAATGCCCGGGGAGAGAGACCTTGGGAGGGATGGCTGTGATGGGGAGCTCCCAACTTGGCAGCTCTCTCCGACAGGAGATGGCTTGAGAGAACTATTTGAAATGTCTCAGAACCATCGTGTGTGAGAGACCGATTCATCACAGTGTGGTGTCGGGGTTAATCTCCTCCTTGTTCTCCTGTTGCTTGTGATCCCAGCTGCTTCGTTGGGTTGCCGGCTCTCGTGTTCGGAAGACGTGGTTCTTGCTGACAGTGGAGCCCGGATCTGAATTCCAGCCCCTGGGTGCTGCCATAGCAACGATAGTTGGTCTCTGTAATAGCATCCCTCTTACACCAGGGATTTTGTCTAACCTAGCGATGTCCTACCAGAAACTAACTCCCACAGTTCAAAGCTACTGTTCGGCCCCTTTTCCTAGAGCAGGGATTATTGCAGTTCCCAAGAGGAAGGCAACAGGGAAACCTTGTGTAGCACCAGTAAGGACTAGGGTCACTTGAGGTTGGGGTCACAATTCTTCTGTGGACTTGTCGGTCTGTTGCCACTAGAGTAGTGGGGCAATGATGGGCTGAGCAGTGGGAGCCAGGAGTTGAACTTCCCCCTAGGAGGAAGAGTCTCTGGTTGGCTCTGTGGGTTTTGATCTGTTGAAAACGCCAGCGTCCAGAAATGCAAGGGACTAAAACGGAGGAAGCAGAAGAGGGGAATTCTGCCTCTTGTTCCTGTGACCCTGGAGTGGCAGCTAAATCAGGAAACTATTTAACCCCAGCTATTCTGGTGATGTGGGGCTTGCGTTCTGACCAGAGAGCTCCCATTCACCTAGGAAAACATGGGGGAAAAGGGAAGCAGAGGTATGGAGCAGAGTAAAACTAACCTGCTGTTGACCTGCTTGCAATCTCTGGGCTCCCAAGACTTGGAGCAGTTGGCTTGGGTTAGACATCCGTCTGTTGGGAAAAACTTTGCACCATTCCCGAGTGAAGCATCGTGTCCCTCTGTGCTTGCCGGTCCATCACAGAGCAACCCAAGTTCATTCTCTGCCCTATTGCCCCCTCTCCCCACACACGCACATGCCAGACCAGAGGATGGAGCAGTGGTGGGATAGCCATGTCTCTCCTTGTCCTTTTAGCTGTGTTTTATAAGAATTCCTGTTAGCAAAATGTTCTCATGTTCCTATAAAATGAGACACATTTTTTTCTTTCTCCTGGGGATAGATGGATTTAACTTTCTAGTGCTCCAGCATGAAACTCTTAGCAACTCCCATTTCTCAAACCCGACTGCTTCCAAGAGTGGAAAGGAACCCTCTCCCTCCCAAAAGCCTGTAGTGAGAATCCTGTGGCCATGTACCATGGCCGGACCCTCCCACCCCAACCTAGCTAACGGCAGGCCCATAGCCACAACTCAGATGCTGTGATTGCTGCACGTTGCTACTTGCTGTTGGTCTAAAGATTTAATATGTTGGACCTTCCAGGACTCTAATCTGTCCTATATAGCCAGGAACTGCTTTTCTAAATTGCAAAAGATGATCCAACCACCCGGTGTGGAGTCCAACTGACTGCCAGCTTTGGAGCCAAGAAGGAATTCCCCCAAATTAGATCGACAAGCATCACTGGCCGAGGGAAAGGCACGGGGTGCGGTTCTGTTCTTGAATTATTTGAGCACACTTAGACCTACCTGATCCCCTGCCACTGCCCCTGTGAGCCCTCTTCTTTACCTGGCATGTGACATAGGGGTTTCTATAGGATGTTTTGTGGCCGTGATGCATGAGGGACCAGAGCAAAGGTTCTTGTTGGCCCTTTTGGACAACTGGTTGCCTGTGAAGGCAGGGAGCCGAATTTGGCCTAGGAACCTCTTTTCAGCTCTGTTCCTACAAAATCTTCTCTTTTTTTTTTTCAGCAAACCTTGCCCCCATGCAGAGCATCTCCAGCGGGCTGAAGGAGACTATGAGCCCTCAGGATATCGTCCAGGATGCCATCCACAACTTCTCCCCTGCGTACCAGCAGTACACCCAGCAGTCCATGCAAGAAATGGAAATGAAAGGCCCTGGGCAGAATGGACATGTGTCCTCCAAAGCTGAGGGGAACAAGGGCAAAAGAAGCAAAAACATTGAGAAGAGGGTGCTGATCATCTCGGATGATGAACCATAGGAGATGCCCAAGGGGGGACAGTGACCTGGGAGATGCTGGAACTCCTTTCTCTCTTAATGGCTTCTTCAGTTTGGAAATGTTCTCACAACTGGGACTGCCTGGTGTGACAGGAGCACAATGAGAATGACAGATGGGCCAGAGAAACTGAGGCATCTGCCCAAAAGCAGCCATCACCTTTGAGAAGGAAAGAAGCAAGAACCTGATGGGTGGGATGCTGAGCAGGGCTGGCATCTCCTGTCCTTTTTCTCCTGTTACTGGGGACCTGTCCTGCTCTGTGTTCCTGCTGCCATGGCTCAAGTACTGAAGCTTTGTCATTCAGTGGTGCCTGTCTACCCACCCCATCAGTATTTTGAGGCATGTCTCTAGCTGCCATCTTAGCACTCTGGGAAGAAACTGAGGACGGGTGGCCTGGGCTTTTGAGCATGCCTCCCAGTGCTAAAAGATGGACTAGTTGAAGTCAATCCCTTCTTGCCATGAACAGGCTGAGCAGCAGCGCTCTCAGCGTTGAGTTTTGCTCTAGTTTCTCTTGGCCTAAGTAAAGAGAGGAGCATCTCTAAAGATCCTGTGGAGAAGACCTGACTTATAAGGGCAACCCACCTGGTAACTCTTTAAAAAAAACAAAAAACCCCACACACAACCCCCCCACCAAACAAAACAAAACAACAAAAAACTTGCTATTTTTTCATTTAAAAGTTAAAAAAAAAAAAAAAAAAAATCTCAGGAATTTTGTAGGAACTTGTGTTGGGGAGGAAGAATTAACCCTGTTTTCTCCTTGGAGAGGAATACAACAGCCTAAAAATGTAATACTTCTTCCTCTTCCACCAGCCCCACAAGCAATGGTGGGGGAACTCTTTCTGGGCTGCAATGGGGCTAAACTGCTGCTGCTTCTCGAGTTTCTATTGGAGGAACCTCTTGTTATTTATGTCTCAAAATGACTCTTCCCTCTCTGAGTGGACCAATTGTTGAAATGGATGCTAATTTGCCTATCAAATTGCTCTTTAGGGATCTGAATTGTGAGGATTGTGATTGGCAGCAGTAGTAGTTTATGTACTGGGAACTGTTTGTTCCTCCTGAAATGCTTTCTATTAAAGCTTCCCACACTTGAAATATAAAAATAAAAAAATTATCGTAAAAAAGCCTCTAGCTTCATGGAGACTGGACAGTGCCAGAAGACAGTAATTTAATGGTAAAAGAATAACTGTCGGACCCTTCCCAGAGCTGGGGTTACCCAGATACATGACTAGCATAGCTGGATGCTATGCGCCTGTTAAAAAAAGAAAACACAAATAAAAAAATAAAAAATAAAAAAAAAGGCCATGTCTTCTGTTTGAAACTGAAATGGGAGAATAGATCTGGTACAAGATGCTAGGCAAGTAAAATATGAGTAAGGCCATCTCTTCTTGGTGACCTGCTCAGTACCACTTATGGGATACAGTTGCTGTAAAAAAGTGGATTGGGTGGGTTATTTGACAGCAGGGGGAAAACGCACTTAATTCCACCAACCTTCCCATCCCATCCCATCCCATCCCATCCCTCCAGAACTACAATGTAAAGAGAACCCTTGTCTATCTGTGCTAGACCCTAGTCTTCTCCCTTACTAGACTGCCTTCTGGAAACTCTTGAGTGTTGGCTCTGCTTTGTCTCCATCCCTTGGGGTTTTTCAGCTGAGTGTTGGAAGGACAGTGAGAGCTGTGCTTTAAAGTCTCAGAGCAGCTGTGTAGCTAGACACCATCTCAAGCTGTCCTTTTTCTAGCATTAGGATTCCTCAAGTCTGAGAAGTGTAAATTGAAACCAACAGTCTTGCATTTTATTTATAAGAATGTGTTTTTCAAATAAATGGAGATTTCTATTATGGCTTGAGTGAGCATTTCATTTTGGCAACTGCTTGTTCCCTGTGTCTCTCCATGAGGGCAGATTGTGTGATGTAGCTTGGCTCTGCAGGACAACACTGAGCAAAGCATCACTTCTTGGTCCCTAAATCCTGAGGCATCACCTATGGCCTATACATTGGTTCCCACATATGGGAGCTCTTGTGTCTTGCTGCCTTTTGCACCTACTGCCTTCTGCACTAGAAACAGGCTGTCCTACTCCTCTCTGCATGTGTTCTAGCCACTGTGTCACTGTCAAGCAGCTGTATGCAGTTGGGAGCTACCCTCTGCCTGTTTTGCAGCAGCAACTGAACAGCAGGTTTGATCAGAGGAATATTGCCCAGCTGAATGGCTAGAAGTAGTCTGCAGCCAAGCCAACCCTGCAAATCCCTCTGAGCTCATCTGCAGCACTGCTCCTACCTGCTCAGTTGGTGAGATTGCTTCCTCCAGGCTGGCAGCCTTCCTGTTGTGAGCTGTGACTAGATCCACAGAGAGGACTTGTGCACAGCAAATCCAGTCCCTATAGATGGGATCCTGTCTGGTTTTACTTCAGAGCCTAGGGAGCAGCTGCCAGCCATGACAGCAGCACCCTGCAGACCCTGCCAGGGCCACTCAGCTTTATAACAGCCATCAAGGGCACTATATAAGCAAAGTAAACACCTTGGATTATCTTATGCCAGCTGCCTTTAGAGAAACCCTGCCACCAAGGAGAGAAGAGGCCCCTTCATCTAACAGATGGCAAAGATGACCAGAGCCCAGCTGTTGGGCTCTTGGCTTCTGGGAACACGTGCACAAGAAAAAGTTTAATTCACTATTGCACAACTGATGCACACAGGCTAAAGTCAGTGGTGCTCATCTGTAAGGCTGGGCCCAGGATTGTCAACCCAAATCTGTTACCCAGATGAGGGATGTGACACTCACCTTCAGCCCTGCAAAGGTGACTGAACACCAGGTAGTTACTGTCCTTTGAAACTGCAGACCTGCTTGCAATGATGGGCTTGAGTTTGGACTCTTTGACAGGGGCAAGCACTGTTTATAATGAGCAGCCTGGTGTTACTGCACTCGTGCTGCTAAATTATTAAAAGGCATCCACAGAGAACAAAGACAGTAAATGTGTCTAAAGCAGAGCAAGACCTTCACTAGCAGATGGGAGTTGCAGACTCTAATGGTAATGAGCCCTCCTGCATGGTAACAAATAAGCCTTCTCCATCTATTACTAAAGAGCACAGAGGTGGGCCACATGCTTGGCCTAGGTCTAAGTCTCAGAAGCCTGCCTCTAGCAATACTTCAGGCACAACAGCACTCCAATGCAAGTGAACTACAACTCATGATCAGCGCCTCAGTTTGTTTCTCAAGTTTTCAGCATTCTCTGAGCGCTTCCCTTACAGGAGACTAGCTTCACCTACTAGCACTTCAAAGGCTAAGGCTTTAGTATCAATAGCCAGATTTGGCCAGTGACATTGCACCTGATGTTAGGCTTTCCATTTGACCATGGCATAGAGGGCATTTCCCAGTGCTCTATATATCAAGACTCTAGATACAGCAGACTCAGTGTTTTAATAGAGATCGGGGGGAGGGGGATAGGTTTCCACCCTAGATATTGTTCTTTGTGCTGCTCCCTATTCCCCAACTGCCCTTGTTACAAACTGCTTAATTATCTTGGACAGAAACCATCTCATTTATCCACTGTAGCTGACCTGTATCATGGACAGGCTTCTAACCACATAGGGGTGGCTGTTTGGATCGGACTGTTAGGCTTGCTCCTACTGATGTGCCCAGAGCATGAGCTACATGTTCGAGAAGTGCCAATGAAGCCTTCAGAGACTCGTGCTACTTTTTTTTTTTCAAACCTGCTCTACCAAGCCATCTTGCACACAGACTGCAACATTTGTCCTGAAATGCTTATGGGAACAACACAGTCCACCTCTAGAAGATGAACTTTTGAACAGCCTCCGGAGGCGGAACACTGCTTTCCACCTTCATTTTCCTCTCTCGAACTCTCCGCTGCTGCTAGTCTCTCAGGCTGGCAGTCTTGACAGCTCTTTTCTCAGCAGTCTCTGGACCGTTACTACTTTGCCCACCACACACAGCACAAGAAAATGTCAATCCTCTAAATCCCTCCTTACCTCACTCACTGCAACCACCACCTGGCTTCTCCAGGTCTCCTGATTCATGGCATCTACAGCTAATCCTTACAAGCTCAGCTCATGTCACATCCTTCATAATTACCTAATAAAGTGCTTTTCTGTCTGCTATTAAACTTCTGGGCCTCTTACTGGTGCCTTTATTTGAATGTCCCTGAATTCCCTTAACTTGCCATCCTGTTTCCTTCTACTTTCCACCTTAACTATCTCATAGGCATAGGGTGTAGATTGAATGGAGAGGTAATCTCCTAATCAGACCTTCCAGTATCAGGCTCTCTGTTTAAAGCTAAGGAACAAATGAACAAAGGAAAAATAGGGATCAGAAGTCAAACAGGCTTAGTGACAAGTTTAAGGCATCCATCAGTATCCACATGGGGAAAATGAAGGGGCTTTACAATCACGACACAGGAGGTAGGACTCTATATATTTGAAAGAATCTGCAGTGCAAGTTGAGCTGGTTGCGTCTCATACAGCAGCAGTCTCAGCACTTAATTAAGATCTCTTGACTGTGATAGAAAGTACCTCCTCTTGTTAGTTGCTGGGAAGTCTCCCACCAAGCTATAGCCCATATGTCTTGTTATGCATTAGTTCTGCTGTCTCACAAACCACTCCACACTACACATCCCTTTTTCAGTTCCAAGCTACATCTTTTTTGCATATAGATGCACATCATTTCAAGTGAGTCATGCAGCAGAAACAAGTGCACGGGGAAGAGATCTACTGAAAAGCAGGTGCCACTTGGTGATGGCCAGGTCACCAGGTCAGTGAGAACAGCGATAGCACCAGGATGGAGTATGCTCTTGCTCACTGCACCATAGAAGTATTTAAACCTATGAGATGGGATGCAGTAGCACATATTTAACCAGCAAAATGATTACATCATGTTACTCCACTGTCATATGTGCCCCAAGTTCATTCTCGCCGACAGTCCGGGTGAGTCACAGCTGAACGTACCCAGACTGACTTCTAAAGAACCGCCTTTCATTAACAGAATGAAAGAGCAGGCCCCAGTGGGCTACATGCTGTACAGGCTAAAAGAGATTAAGACAAGAGAAATACTCCAGTGAAGAACAACTCAGGCTCCGAAATGCTGACAATACACCAGAGCAAATCTGAAACCAGAAAATGCTTTATTGGAAAGGTACAAAAACCAGTCACTGCAGCTAAATTTACAGCAATAAATTACGGTGTGGCTGTCAAGAGAAAGTAATGGACACATACACAGGGCTATACGCCTTACAAACAGGAATCCACATTACTTGGTATATCAATAATTTATTTTATAATAAAAAAGCAGCACAAAAATAAATATTGAAATGAAATTACTGAGTAACCACAGAGGATAGAAGGAGCTGGTGATAAAAAACAAAACAAAAAACAAAACAAAACTTAAAACAGAAGACCTCTATCATTTAAAAAACAAAATGAAAGCAAAGGATCCACCATCTATGGAAACACCCCAGCAGACTGAAGTACAGACGACAAGGGAAAACAAACCCACATTACAAAAGTTTGTCTTTTTTTTTTCCTTTTTAAATAAAAACAATCATGACAACAAAGTTTAAATGATCTGAGAGCGAGAATGCTGCCAACCTCCTTCCCGGGCTCTGAGTTGTATAGCATGAATGCCCCCTGCTATTCAAGCAATGCGATTCTTCCACTGACTACCCCTTCCCCCCGCTTACTATCCACCTCCATTTCTTCCCCCCACCCTCCCCCAAAACCCTGTCCCAGGAGGCTGTGATGTTGCACAGCAGCTAACCTGTTGCTCCCTGCATCTGTTTTCCTCAGGCAGAAGATACGACTGGGCAAGGGCAGAGACACTGACTTGCTTATAAGGTCCAGAAGCTGCCCTAAAAGGGATGCAGTGCCTGTTCCCAAAGGAGAGCACAATGCATGTGAAACAGAAGAGCTGCCTCCTGTTACTGCCCAAAGCAAACACCCCAGGATGCCCCAACTGTGGATCAGGGGGGCATCCCGCAGGCTGCTCCTAGCCTTCCCCCCACCCAGACTGGGGCTCCCATGTTGTGCACAGGATGGTAGCGGAGGGAGATGTTAGGCTTGGGG